GGAGGGAGTTGGGCAAGGCTGGGGCTGGGCTGCTGCCCAACCTGGGCAGTGTGTGGGGCTTGGGGCCCGGGGCCAGAATGCATGGCCACAGGGCCCAGGCAGGAAGTGGAGCAGGGCCATGGGTGGCGCGTCTGGGGCAGCTGGCTCCCCACCACTGTGCACATTCCCGGGCGGAGCATGGGGGCATATGCCTCTTAGATTTGTGTGTGGGGTGGGTGCTGGCTCCCCACTGTGGGCTTGGGCTCCCTGCCCTACCCCCAGAGCCTCTGTGGCCTGGTGAGTGAGACCCGGCATGGCAGGGCAAAGTGGGACTTGGCGGGGAATCTTGATACCGCCACTGTAAGCCCTGCACTGCCATGGCAAGGTTCCCCCTGCCTGCCTGGCAGCAGCAGGGGGCAGAAGCCCATGCCACCACCCTCGCTGCGGTGAAGTGGGTAGGTGGTGCCTCACTATGGCAGCGCAGGGGTTGCGGAGGCAGCATCGAGCTTCCCCACCCAGTCCTGCTCTGCCCTGCTGCACCAGGTCTTGCATGCCCAGTATTGGATTTAGGCACAAGCTGAGGAAGCTGCAGCTTAGGGCCTCACATTATAAGGGGCCTCTAAACTAAGCCCTGGACTTGGGTCCCTGCCCCTGTAGCCCTGGCAGCTGGGGGGAGGGTTGGTGGGCTGTGGGTGGGGACTGAGGGGCAGTAGCAGGGCTGTGGGGCTGTGGATGGGGAATGAGGGACAATGGCAGGGGCGGGGCACTGGCATATTGGGGCTGCTCAATGCCATAAACCAGTGAGTTGGGGACAGCTGCAGCTGGACCTGTGTCCTGGTGAGTGAAGGGAGCAGAGAGAATGCTGATTTTTTTCCATGATAAAAAATCCAAAATCAAATGCCAAAATTTTATAGGTATTTTAGAATGTATTTTACTATAGTGACTGAGGCACTGGTAGGCTTCAAATTACTTTAAAATTGTAAATATATCAATAAAACGTTGTTAAACTAATACCTATATATAGTGGCATTTCATTTTAATTGCAGATTTGGGGATTTTTAATTGGAGAATTTGGGGTGTTTTTATCAGAGAGTTTGCAGTTTTAAAACAGAGAAAACCAGGACCCTGGTCATGAGCTTGCATAGTCTGACACATTGGTGCCTTATAGCTTTATTATTCATTGTAGCAGTCTGGTTTTGCCTGTCAATTTGTGCAACTTATACCACTTCTTTTATGAACAGCATTTTTCAGTGTTCAACATTAGTCCTTAAAATTGATTTTTACCCTCTTTTTGTTTTTCATTGCCAGTCTTTTCTTGCCTGCTGAGCTACCCTGTATCAGATTGTACTGGATCCAGATTTGCCAGTTCCATAGAGGAGAACAGGAGCTCTCTGAGACTTTGCATGCAGTAAGTGATAACCTTGCATAGCAGGATGTTTAACCCTTTAAAATGCAAGAGTAGAAAATGAAATCAAAATCTGAGTCTCTTGCCTGATATGCTGTGTTTAATTTAGTCAAATTTTTATGCTGTTTTTAAAGAAATGCTGCCAGCTCTTCTGTAATTAAAACTTTACATTATTTTATTTATACTGCACTGCAGTGGTCGGATTCCAAGTGATACAAACCTTAAGGATTTTTGAAGACATGGAGCTTGTTAATGTTAATGTCTTATAAACTTGAAAATAGCACTTCTTTCTACTGGTGGTTTTATCCCATTCCATTTTGGCAACAACTACGCTATGCTGTTTTAAAATCTGTGAGAGCTATTCTAAATTTCTGGTGCATTTTAAACACAAGCAGTTTGTAGTCCAATGACAAGATGTCTTGGTTTGATCTTTCTGAGCTGGAATGCTGTGAGCTATCAAAAACACAATCCAAGAATGTCACACAATCCTAGCTATTATAAGACTACAGTCCCCTTTGGGTTTAGTCAGAGCTCACACTGCACTTGATTGTCTCCAGGCTGTGAACTACTGAAGAAAGGTACAATTTCTTTCTTTTTATATTAATGACACTTCCTTCACTTCACTTAGGTCTATGGAATGTATTGTAAGTTGCAACATACTGCAGTTTTAAAAACATGGGTTTTTTTAGTGCTCCAAGAACACAAGTATTTTATGGACCTGCTTCTATATTCCATTGCCATACTCTGTATCCTGCATGACCTTGGAAAATTATAGGCATGTATACACATGCTCTGAGGTTATGTGTGTGTAGTGGGGGCGGGGAGCTGTTTTAATTAGAGCACCCTGCAGCATCTCATGTACTCAGCATCCTGCACTTCAAAATGGTGTCGGGACACTTCAACTAAAGCTCATTCAACGAGCCCCTGCTGCCATTTTGAAACATGGGGACCATGAATGACTGGTGCCTTTTGCGACTGGGGGGGGCACCAGGGTGGCAAGAGGGTACTAGAGCTGCCGCCGCCAGTGTCAGCAGTTGGGGGGGGTGTCAGACGGCGAGTGGGGACTACCTGTAGCCACCGTCCGCACTGTAGGCGGTGGTGAGTGGTAAGTGGGGACTGCTCACAGCTGCTGGCGGCTGCGTCAGCAGCAAGTGGGGGGCAGTAACCACCCGCAGAAGCTGGCGGCGGCTTTGGCAGTGGCCAATCTCAGGGAGGGCACATGCCCCCCTGTGCCCCCTCCACGCATTGCCTATGATGGGGATGCTGAATACATGTGACAGCAAAACTGCTGGAGCATTCTAATTAGATTAAGTGAGTCTGCTCGGACACATTACAATTAGAGTGCATCGGAGCAGGCATCCTGCACGTGTACAGGCAGTCTGTGAATGCAAAGGAATTGGTGTTATTCCACTCCCTGAATCAGAGAGCAGGTAAAATCATGTATAGGTCTGTGCAAATGATCTTCACTTCTTGCATGATATAGTCATACTTTGCAGCATCTTCCTGGATTCCTAGTATGTGAAGAGATAGAAAGAGGTGGGAGCAGGGCTAATGGAACTACCTGTTCTCCTGAACTTATGTGGTGAGATGCTTCAGTAGCCACTGCAGGGCTGTGAGGTTAAACAAAACAAAACAAAACAAAACAAAACAAAACAAAAACACTTCTCGTTTGGATCTGGCAAATCTCCCTAGTGCACAGCATGCATGTTTTCTGCTGTGCTCAGGACACACCATTTGACCTTGAAAGAAGATGAAGTCCCATGGACCTTCAGACAGGTTCCTGGACCACTAATAATACTATTAGGTACTTTTGTATGGAGAGGTGCCTGATCTTTTTATTTGAAAGTGGAAATTAATTCCTAAATGTAAGATAGAAATCTGATTTCTTAGTGCTGTATGCTAAATGTGCTAACTAGAAATGTTTGTGTCTCAGCTGAGCCTGGCAAGAATTGCTCAGTTTTGCTTCAATCTCAAAGCTTGGAATCAGACTATTCATGAGGCATCTTGTACTACATAGTGCAGTACCCCAGGGGCATTATATAAATTAATATTGTATCTGTGATTGTAGCTAGTAGTTAATTTATCATTTTGTAGTAAGAAACAAGAGGCTAAATTACTGATTAATTATAATCAAGCTTTCAAAGTGTTCATATGCATGTTGAAGTAGAAGTATGAATACACTGCTGACCACCTTTTGCCAGTTTACCTGTAAGCTATTCTAGTGGTGGTACAATTAGTTACTATCCACACAGTATTTACTGGTGTTAATTTTTTTTTGAAACATTGGTAACTTTATTTCAGCTAATTAAGTGTTTATAGCTGACACAAGGGGTATTTAATTTATGGAATCTTCCAAGTTTAACAGAGAGAAATAAAGGAATTCTTAGGTTGTTTTTTGTGGCAAACTCATTTCTATTGCAATATTTTCAACTATTACAGAAATTTAAACAAAACAGTGCTTTATTCTTTTAGTAGAAAGGACAGGAAAAAGTTCAATTACCACAGTGCATCCAGAAGGATAACTTAAAACATTACCAGTAAACTAAACAGTTTACAAAATTGCATTTTTAAGAAGATTTATCCGCTCGCTCTTGAGAAACCTTCAGGAAGATACCATTAGGAAATGGTCTGAAATTCTAATTTGATATGCAATTAGCAAATTAAATAGAAGTAAACTTAAGTATGTGGTCTTTTAAGGCCAGACCCAGTACTAGACAAAAACAGTACTACTACTATTATTAATATTTAGATTTATATCCCACTCCATCCAGAGGCTCAGAGCAGCTTACAATAGATGACAAACAGCAGCAGTAGATTCCCCAAATGAGAAAACTCCACCCCATCCCTGCCACCATTGAGAGAAAATCCTTGGGCAAATCCCAACCCCCACTCACATTTAGGTATATGGGCTCTATTGCTGTGTTGCCTTTTACCCTCTCTGCCCTCTCTCTCCTGTTTTAATACTCCCTTGTTGCATCTTGTTTTAAGTTACAGTATCTGCATGCAATACAGTGCATCTCCAGAGGCAGCCATGGGTGGCACCCACTGGTGGTTATACTACACCCATTCTACTCCAACTCCCTGATTTGATCTCTCACTCTCACCTACCGTGCCTTGATGTTTGGGTTAATATATATTTTTAGGAGGCTGCCTGCAGAGAGCTGGAGTTTGGCCTTTGGTGCCTTGCTCCATCCTGCTCACCATCAGTCTGCCCAATCCTCACACCCTAAGCAAAGCAGACCTCTGCCTCCCTCTCTGCCTTCTCCTCCTGGGCCCCTGGCCTCATGTCACTCTGGTCTAGGCTTCAGTCTGTCTTTCTCCCACTGGCTCTCCTGGCCCTGTCTGGGCTTCAGCACCTCCCCCAGCCCTTGCAGCCTGCTGGGTCCCAGACCCTTGTAGGGCTCTATCTGGGCATTAGCCCCTCCTAACACCAATGGTCTCCTGCTCCCCCATAAGCCACTCCAAACCTCATGCTTAATATAACCCCAAAATGAAAACAAAACGTATAACATCTCTTTCTGTTTACAGCTTCCCTACAGAGCTCCTACGCGCATGAGGATCTGAGTCAGACTATCCTCCTCGCCTTGTGCAGTGTCGCTAAGTCTGCTTATAATACATGGAATTGGGCTTGTTCTTTTAAAAAGTTGCTTTAATTCTTTGAGAGTTGTGGGTTGATAGACGGCCCTGCTCCCCTCTCTTTGAAGTGGGGTTGGCTTTTGGGCTCGTTTTTAAAGGCAGTGCTGCTTTTTTTTTTTTTTTCCTCATGAGACTTGGCAGCACTGACTTTGTGCTTGGGCTTATATGGCCCTTGGCTCCTCCCCCTCTGGTCACCTGACCTGGCTTTTGGAAAACAGCCCAGGTGCTGCCAGTTGCAAGGTTGCCACGGGAGCTCTCAATCCCCTCACTTGCTGCTCAGAGCCGTGCAGCTCTGCGTTTCCCCGGCCGGTCTGCTAGAAAGTCACTCCTGCTTCTTTCCAGTAGCAGAGTTAAGGACCCCCTGCTACACTGCACTACTGAGCAAGGACTCGTCTCGCTCTACATGTTTGTACAGTAACTGGTACAATGGCACTTTGATCTTGAGAGAACCTTTGGGTGTGTCCCTTGCTCCACCACTGCCAGCCCGAGTCAGTCAGACTTGGCATGCTTGGTCTGACCCAGTATACCAGGTCCAGAGCTCTGTGTCAGGTTGGACTTGGCACACTGGCTCCAGCTGCATACCAACCCTGCGTGCCAACCCAAACCAGTGTGTGGATGGGGATGACACCCACACACACACAGAGGTCTGGAACTTTGGCAGTGGCGCAGGGGACCAGTGGCAATGTTAAATGCTCTGGCTCCCAGAGCCATGGCAATTAACACTGCCACCTACCCCCACCAAATGTCCAGACCTGTGGTGATCCCTTTTCCTTGCATATAATGCATATCCCAGTTTCTGTGAGGGTTTGGCTGGGATGTAGGCAGTCAGGCCTGTGGGTAGGCCCTGAAGGGCAACCAGGATGTGAGCTAAGTGGGATTAAAGGTTACTGGGGCCTTAGGTCTGGGTCCCAATCAGCAGAGCAGAGGATTCAGGGCTGGGTCCTAGGAGAACCAAGAGGGAAAGCCAAGAGACGTAGTCCAGAGTGCAAGCTGGGATCAGAAGCCAGCAGAATCAGAGAGCCAGGTACCAAGTTTGAGAGAAGATTCAAGAGCAGGGTCAGGGTCAGGAAAAGCCAGAGCTGAGGCAGGAGGCAGGAGAACAAGAGACAGCAGGGAGCACAAGGCTTGCTGGAGCAGACAGAGGCATGCCTGCATGTTGTCAAGGCATGCCTGTAGCCTGAGGCTGCAGTCTGCTTAAAAGGACTGAGCAGCAGTCTGGTTACAGGGAACTGGGGCAGTTGTATTAGCCTGGGATGAAGGTCAAGTGTGGAAATTCAAGAGTTCAGCCCAGCTGGGTCTGACTTGACCAGAGTCTCTGACAGTTTCACCCAACTGTGTTTTGGGGGAGCCCAAAGGTGCAGGTTATA